AGGTCCCTCTCTGCTACACTACTCTCCAATACCTGGTGTGCGTAAAGCAACTCCTGCTTTCGGAGGCCATGTACACTGGTGTGCTGAGGTGGCTGCTATGCTACAAGTGGAAAAGCCTGGGAGCAGTTCAGACTGTGGGCTCTCCACTTGTCTGCAACGACAAATTCCAGCTGGTGCAAGTATTTAACCTACTGCTCTGCTCCTGTGCAGTGCAACTCACATCTACAGACTCTGCTCCTAGTGCACGGAGTACAGATGATACCTGGCGAGTAAGGTCAACAAAAATGATGAACTGGAATGGGAATATATCAAACTGGAACTGAAATTGGCAGGTAACAATGCACCAAATTAATTCTGTGTAGAAAACTGTTGTTACTGGTTTTCAGCAGCCTACATAGAGTTTGCAAGTGTTCTGTCAGAACTGCACTTGTCTGATTTATATAGTTACTGCATTGTAAGTCTGTGGTGCTCATACATTTTATATGACAAGACTCTACACAAGTATTTTCTGGTGTACACTTCAGTTTCAGGAGCATTTTTCAAATCAGACTTAATAGATCCTAGATTAAAAGGGACTCAGGCACCAGAAAAGAGATTTGACAGATATCTGTATAAAAATCTGTGACTTTTACTCACCCCCTCACTCAGATATTTAGAATGCATAAATGCTTTCATTTTGAGCAGCAAAGTTTAGCTTCTTTGTGGAGTTAGTCTAAAGTTCATTAGTCACATAAAACATAGGTTTTCTGAAATCACACATGAGATTCATAGTGCACAGGCACCTTCGTCCAACAGATCATTCATTTTTCTGTCATTGTTGTCCTTGCTCCTTGCTTTAGTATCTCAGCCACCCATATCTATTTCAGCTCCTTATTTTTCCACAACACATCTCACAAACAGCTGTGTAACTATCCTCAACAGTTTTAAGCATGAAGAGAAAATAAGATACATAACAAAAGACTTACATCATCAAAGAAGACAGAGAAGAGTTTCAAAAATATCCTGCTATCCTTTGTTTCATAGGCAGTGAAGTGCTTCTACAAACCTTAATAGGAAAACAACTACCTTTTTTTCCTTCTTCTTCTTCTGAACTTCTTCTTTCCTTTAAAATAAAAAAATCTCATTACAAAAGATTTAGCCAAGATCAGAGAGGTGCCTTGGAGAAGGACAGGAATTGTACCACTGTTTCATATCAGTCTTAAAAAACCCCATCAAAATCCAACCAAAAAAAAACCCCTCAAAGTCAATTGGAGACTTTATTAACATTATGCCAATGTTATCGCTAAAGCAACTGTACTTATTTCTATGAAAGGAATTTGTTCTGGTTTTTGTAAAAATTTAATATGTATTTCTGGAAATTATTAACTTGCTAGCCGTTAAGTCCACTTTAGTAAAAAGAATAAAAATCAATTATTCCAGCAAATATATTTTTAAATATTTACAAATATCTGTCACATTGCTTCACATATTTACAACATTAATACTCTCTTTATGGTTTCTGGTGGGTTAATTCCTTTTTTGCATTCATTTTACAATAGTGCAATTACATGCACTTTGATGGAGTTAAATTTAGCTTGTATAACCTAAAATAAATCTGATAAAAACAAACCCAGTGTCTATTTCCTCTTTATTCCAATAGACCTACCTTTTTTTCTATGATTGAAACAATCATGCCTGACAAGTAATTATTCTGTGACAAGTATTATGCCTTTTTTAGCACAAAAAATAGATTTCAAAAAAGAATAATGGGGTAATAAATTTGAATCTTGTCTACTTTTTAATCATTATCAGTTATACACCCACAGTTCGTTCTGTCCTGTTTCAGCTCTGACAATAATATACTATCAAACTACAATTTAAGAGCCTTTATCAAGGTAAAAGGTAATGTTTATTAACATGAATAAGGAATACATAATAAAAATATAAGCAGTTTAATAATATGTAATCAAAACAATCAGTACAGTAAATATATTTAAATGGTGCACACTGAGCTCTTTCATTCACAGGTGAATAGTGCTTTACTTCACATTTCCACAAAAATCAAAATTGTATTGTTTCAGGGATGATTTCCTCGCCCAGAGGCTTTACAGACTCTTTCTTTTTCTTCTTCTTGATTTTTATTAATCTTCTTTCACCTTTCTTTTTATTGAATCCTAAATGTAAAATAAAGTAAGATTAGATGCTGTATGACTAACACATCCAAGATTATCAGAAACGAGACAAGTCTTGTTTCCAAGAAAAAAATAAGAAAAAAGAACATGGTCTTACCTAGAGTCTCCATCTGCCTGACAAATGCCAAGTTGTCTTATTTCTGTTCTTGTACACTGTATTTTACTGTCCATCTTTATCTTTCTAGCTCTGTGTCTCTTCTGATTTCTATTTTCACTTTTCTAAGACTTTCAACTATTATATTTTATCAGGCAACACTTACTACCAAAAGTTGCAAGAATGTTTCAACCTGCATAATATTTACCTCTGATGATAGGCTGTGGCAGTATCACTTCCCATACCTTTCTTGCAGATCCTCAAACATGACTTTCTGGAGGTGAAATTATTTTCATTCCCACCACAACCACTGTAGCGAAATGGATGACATCTTCCAGTTGAGTAGTTGTAGAAAAATCTTAATTCTTTGGCTCTACAAAGTCCTCTGTCCATAGGGGTCATGCACAAAGAAGGGATAGGGGGTGGTTCTACAAACACCAAGAAAAAACAAGATTAGAGACAACACTGCAGTTTACAAGTTTTCTGTTATTTTTATCTTATATATGAGATTTGAAGCTTAGAGGACTTTGAAAATTATATTAAAATCACTGTCAAACTCAATTGTGGTCTCCTGAAAATACAGAATAATTTACATAAGCATCTGTCTTTTTATGATTACAAAAAATACCACAGCAAATGTTACTCTCTCTTTGAATTTCAAAAGCCAGCAAAAGATTACCTGAAAGCAAGGCTTATTTCTTACATATTTAGCGATAAAATTGCAATTTCTGTGATAGGAATTGTATTCAAATTCAATTAGAGAAGTTTCAGGTGAAGCATGTGTAGAAAGTGAAGTGAAAAAATTAAACCTGGACAGCTTTAAAAACACAGTAAAAATTTATGATAATTAATGACGTGAATTTTCCTAATTACTGCTAGATATTCTGAAATCAAATAGAAGGTTAAAGTGCCCAGCATTTCCAATGTAAGATTCAATACCTAATATTGGGTTTGTCATATGCATACAGAAAGCTTGACCTAAATAATAGAAGTTGGTCTATTGGAAACCACTGAGCAGTTATCAAGAAATAGCTTGTAACTCACAGAATAACAAAGCATTGTATGTGAAGAATAAGTGCACAAAGTGACCGAGATGCTGGTGCTTTAGTGCTGCTATTAAGTTTTTACCATTCCCAGGAGTAGGCTGATGGTTTGTTTCTTTAGTGTCGCCGCCAGTGAGAGTATGAGAACTGAAACAACGGAAGATGAACCTGAGGTATCCGAAGTACTTGGGCACTGGAGCAAGTTCAAGAAGCAAATCCGTGCCAGAATTCCCAAACCTGGAGAAACTCCATCATCTACCACCCTGGATGACTCATACACAAAATCAGAACTGACACAATTGCTGCACAGGATGCATGAAACTGAATGGGAGCCATTATATCATCAGTTATGGAGGACCTAGAGGAGCACCATTTTCCTTCAAGAAGTAGCAGAAATGAGATAGCTGAGATCTGAGCGCATAAATGGAAGTGTGAAGCTAGTCACACAGCCTTCTTGAAGTTACAAAGCCAGGTAGAAGTGTTTCAGAGTAAAAAAAACAGTAAAAACTTTATGGAACAATTTAAGTTACAACAGATGAGTTGCTGAAAGCAAGAAATTATGAATTAGCTTGGGAAATTCAAGAGGCTGACAAGAAAATATCTCAAAAGAACGTGCTATATCTTACTTGTCTTACACATATTACACCTGCCGAAAAATGTTCATCTGCCACGTATAATAACTGAACTTTCATAGTGAAAAAGTATGAAAAATTGCTGGGAAATGAATAGAATGGTGATTTATGGAAAGCTAAGACAGCAACATGAAATGAATAATCTATTTGAAGATGTGTTAGCAACATCATACTATTCAAAAAGAATCCTGAAATGCAAAAACTGACACATGAGTTGTTTTGTCAAGATAGATTAAGTTAGTTTCAGGTTATAAAATGAACACTACTTAACTTCTTTTTATAACTGTTAACTTACAGTAAGAGTAGGGTTCACTCTGAATCCAGAGTAAGAGCCTACAATGTGATACAATTTATATTAAACCTACTGTTTCACTTACAATGATGACGGTAGTTAAATTAACTGATGCAATGCTTTCGGTACCGCTCTGACAACTCTTGTGCTTAGAACTAATTTAATTTCTCTCTAACTGGAGAGAATATTAGCTTTCAAAGCATATGTTCAGCAACATTAACGAAAAAAAAAAAAAGCTTGCCTATTTTAACCTGATAATTTCTGAACTTAAAACAAAAAAAAAAAAACCCAGAAAGGCTTGCCAGTGATGAAAGGGCCAAACGGCATAAGCTTGTTAATTATATAACAGAATTTAAATATATACTTTGTAATGTAAATTACTTATCTGGTATGTAGAACTTTCCAGTGAGACTCCAGAGACCCCTCGTGAAGGAGTTCTCATGCCTGTAAGCTTTAGGGGAGCCGTGGAGCCAGTGATGTGGTTACTGGTGAATAAGTATTACCTATGTACGCATAACACAACTGGCAGAGCAGCATCCAAATGCTATTCAGAATCCCTCTTGTACTATTTAAAAAAATTATGTTGTCTAGATGATTGCCAGATAAATGCCCCAGATACAAAACACTATTCCTGTTCATCTTCAAAATATCTGCATATTCTTTATATTCACAGAAGCAACCAATCTATGAAGAAAACATATTGCTATATAGCAGCAATTTTTTTTAACAACATATTAAAATGAAAATGAAATGACTTATCATAATTTCCTGTCTGCTGAGGATCATAAAAATCCTGAATTGATTTTAATGTACTGAACACTAAAAGATCTGGTAACTTTAAGTTATCGTAAACATAAAATATGTACCGCGTCATGACCAATCCAACATCTCTCTTGGCAAGACAATCTATAAGCCTGTGAGCCAGTATGTTAACACAGTCTCTGGGAGCATTAAATCCAGGTAAGTTTTCTCTGTTCGGCCCCAGCTTCTAATGCTGTACTTGTGTATATGATGTTACAGTAAGTTTAGATACCATGCCTGTTCTTGAGTTTCTCTCTCAAATGTTTTGGCTTTACAACCTCATTTTTCTAAGTTGCTGAAATGTTTATCTCCTGCTTTTTCTATCAAGGAAAAAATAAAAAGGAAGAAGCAAATCCCACAACCCACAAAACCACACAGAGGAGGGGTACCCACTGAAAACAGTAAAAAAAAAATAGCAATACATGTCCCACTATCTAAGTCAATTCCCCAATTTAATTACATTTTAGCAATTTCTTTTTTACTGTGCAAATTGCATTGTTCATTACATAACTAAAAATTAATAAATGTCATTAAATGCTTTCTAACTTTTTTATACCTGCAACTACGTGTCCCATCCTATGGCCTTTGATGCAATTTCTATAGAAATCAACTGGTTATTTACATTGACAGCAACAGGATTTAAGACTCTGGCTTCACCCTTATGCTCATGCTTTTCTATTTATCCAAAACATCTGATTTAAACAGGTTTTAAATATCCAATAGCAAGCTCATAAACTTGGATTTGCTATGTATATTATTCACCAAAAATATACAACGTAAGTCAGGGTCATGAACAGGCATGGGAAAAAATTTACAATTCATACAATCAAAGGAGAAATGAAAGCTTCCAAGCTGAGTTAGTCAAAAACAGCGTGCTCCTCAGAAACATGCCAATTCCATCAAAAACTTTTGAAGGAAATTAGACCTTGGAACCCATCTCAAGTGGAGCCTGGGAACTGGAACTCCTGCCACTAGCCTGCAGGAGCTTCTCAAATGGGTTTCAGGCTCTACAACAGCAAAATATAGTGTAGATCTTTCTGTTATATTATCTTTCTGTTGCTTCTTTTTCTTGATGATGCAGATGTTTGGACTGATTTTGTTTTGGTGAGAGAATAAGACAGAGAACTGCAATATTTGATATTTTGCTTCTGAAAAACTAGGTAAACTAATTATATGAGATAAACGGTAAATAAAAAAAGACTATTGCTCTTACCTATAAAAAGACCATTGTGTCTAACCCTTCACTGCTACCGAAACAATCTTTAAATGTATATGGTTTAAGATGTAATCCTTATAATACAGCCTTTTCTTGAATCCAGAGACCCCTCTATGCTGTAAACAGATGACATGATCATAATTCAGAATCTCTGAAGCATGCATATTCTGCTTTATACAAAATTTTATAAAAAAATAATCCCAACCCTGCATTGCAACAATAATCATTAACCCTCAGGCTTAGCTAGGGTTGTGTGACAATGAACCATTAATCGATCACAGTACAAAAGAAGTTCAAAATTATCTTGGTGAGCTAGATGAGAAATAATGCTTACTGCATTCTCTTTTGCTAGACACAGGTGTGTGACATTCATGAAGCTTCAGATTTACTGACAGATTTTTGATATATGCAGACTTCAGTATCTCATGTCTGGCTGCAGCAAAAAGAAATCAAAAGAATCTTCAAGTAGACAGGCTATTACAAAAATAATGAGTCATCTGCACTTGACAGTACTCTACAAGTATAAATTGGCGCAGATCCATTATAGTGAACAGAACTGTGTCAATTTATATCAGCAAAAGATATGGCCCTGACTTTGAGAAGTAATAACAGGAACTGCCACTGTGTGCCATTCCATATTTGCGGAGTTGAAAATTGACTTTTGATCCTGCATCCCACTTAGATCTCACAAATCAGAGTATAGCTCTCAATCTCCTACCACAGATCACTTCGTATAAACTAAAAATGAAAGGTTTAATTCTCGGCTTCACTTTCTCTTAACTTCCCCAGAATAAAAGTTACTCAGATCTTGCAGCAGAGTAAAACCAGAGCAATTTTCACTCTCTGTAGAAAGTTAATTGCTGAGAGATAGCACTAGAAGATTCACATTTATATGCAGAAAAAAAAAAAGTTTGTTTTGTTTGGCCATAGAAGAGTCTAGAAGAGCCATCAACAACTTTGTTGGAAATCTGACATCATTAGAGACATATGTATCACCCATAATATGCATTTTTTACTGAAATCAAAATGAAATAGCATTTCAATTGTGAGGTAAGGTATTCTAACAAGAGACAACTTCTTGCAAGTTTTTTTTTTTTTTAACAGCAGTCATATATTCAAAAAAAGAAGATACACAGCCAGGCCAACATACATGCAAAATAGATATTACTGTGGCAGACCAGCTACTTTGCCTGTGCTTGAGAAGATGGGCATCAGCCACTCGAGTCATCCTGACCTCATGCGTGCAGAGCCTGATTCTTGTCCCTCACTGAGGGCCACAGGGAGTCACAGTGCATGCTTGCGTGAGGTAGCTCTATCTCACAACTTCAGTTTACACCTCTGCCTCTAGGAATAGCTGGAATGGAAATTATGTTCCCCCCGTCTCTGTGGACAAATCAGCTGTCAGTTTTGGCCGAGCCCTTTCCTCTCCCTGTAGTGAGACTGCAGAAAAGCACAGGATTTTAGCCCATCCCAGCAGCCTGAAAGGTACAGGCTGACAAACAGAATGGCAGCAGGTGGCCGCATGGGGCAGGCTAGTGCAAGACAGACAAAGGTTATATAGCAGGGAAGAACCTGTGACATCTTCAGACTTTGCACTGAAACACACTGGCCCTTCCAAGGTCATGTTTCCTACCTGACTCAGCCAGCTACACTGACTCCACCAACACTTGTTACCTGACACTTTCTTTCACCAACCTTCAAGTCTTCCCTTTCTCTTACCCTCACCTCTCTCTCCCAAAATCTGCTCTACCAGAAAACTCACTATTGCTGACACAACCAAGAACCCTTCAGTTTCCTCTCGGAAAACACAGTGAATCACGCCCCTTTGCTTGTACAGATTATTTCTTTTAGGGATTTGTAGATTCATATTATGAGTAAAAAAATCTTCAGGGAACATGTACGCTCTTATGTCCCTAGAACTTATTAGCAAGCCTTAAATCATTCAGATATTTTTCAGTAAAATGCTTCCAAAAGCTTTACTGCTTTATATTCACTCATTTTAATAACAGAGTGGATTCATGCTTTGTATGTGGTAAACAAACAATCCAACTCTCACAGAAGCTTACCTCAACCCAACTGTACATGTAGATCACAGTCCAGACAAAAAAATAGAATACAACATACATTCAAGCTTTATTAGACATACCATTTTAAGCAAAGAGCAGAGGATTGTTATCCTACATGCCCATTATCTTACAGATCATACAAAGTGCAAAACCTCTAATGAATCTGTAAACCATCACTCAATACCCAAAAGTACAAGTAAGTGTAAATGCAAAAAAACAATAGAAATACTTGGTAAGAACGCTCAGGCTTTTTCCAACTGTTTCTTGTTTCCTCTTGCATAACTGTGGATCATAAAAATGACATGCCTCAAATTCAATCATCCTTACAGTGTGAGCAAGTACCAGCAATCTACAGTGGACAGGATCCACCTGCAGAAACTGGTAAAAACTGGCCCTCTACAGTAAAGGTCCAGATTCTCATCTGCATTATAGTACATAGTGCAAAAATACCTTGAAGGAGACAAAATTAATTCACACTCACTTTAATTATACTCAAACCAAAAACTTAATTTAATATGGTCTTAGTGAAAACAAAAATTTACTATAAATATATTGTGCCATATTTCAAAATCCAAATATGGTCCTTTTTTAACAGGTAAAAAGAGCTTTAAATCAGCTGCCCATTAGATCCCCACAAAAATATTAATTTTGACTAAGCAAATTCTGCATCACTGCTTTTGCTCTTGGTCTTTAAATTTTTGTATTTACCAGACCTTCAGGAAGCACACACTTCCAGAAGAAAAGAAATGCTCAGTCTTTCACTTTATGATATTTATGGAAAACCTGTAAGTGGCAATATATTCCTTTCCTTTGACTTTTTCTGCTTATCAAAACATTTGACATAGATGGAAGCCCATTATTTAGCCTCAGATATGTTGGAAAATGGGTGGAAATGGAGAAATAATCCAGACCACGTATAAAAGACTGAGAGCTAAGAAATGCAGAAGTGAACTCTTACCAAAAAAAATGGGAAACTGGTTGCGCTCCTCCTTTGGGAAACTACTGTTCAGAGTGTTGGACTTCTCCTCATTTGGAGCAGTTGGCAACAAATTTACTAAAAGGAAAAAAAAAGTGGGGATGAAACAGTAAGTGACAGGTTGTCTAGACACAAAAAGAAGCTCTGAAAATAAGCTATGATTGGTACCCATTTGCCATGCTCCATGCCAGCATTACTTCTTCTAAAAGGCAGCATTTCTTTAAGTCCCAAAGGCATAGGAAACTGATGTGATGGGGCAACTTTGGGATGTATTCCTTTTTCTTTTTTAATTTTACTGATGTAAGATTTAAATTAAACATAGTTTGGTAAGGTTATTTTTGTATTACTAGCAGACATTCTAACCTTTGCAATTATAAGCCTTTTTCAAAATACGTACGACTAACAACAAAATGGCTATGAAGCCAGTTTTAATGTTACTAACTTCACTGTGCTTACGTATTTAAATTAACATCAAATAAATGGGAAAATGAGAGCACAAGCCAAGGAGTGTCTGCATTAAAAAAGGATAAGTATAAACAGCAAAAGCAAATTCTACCAAAAATCCCAGGAAACTGTTTGGGTTCTTCTGCAGTGGAACTACTATTCCCAGTGTTAGGATGCTCTTCAGCTGGAACAACTGGCACTAAATTTGCTAAAAGAAAAACAAAATGCAAACAATGCTGAAAAACCACAAAACCCAAATGGTATCAATGATTCTATATCACTAAGGTAAAAACTTTGATCTGTTTTAACCATGGTAATTAATGCCCCTAATCCTCCTCCTTCTTGGCTATTCATACAAATTTACACAGAGGGATTATTTCAGATTAAAGTCAGGAAGAAAGAAAAAGCATTCTGGAACTTTTAATCTAGAAGGTAAAGGTGGAATCAGAGCTCATGAAGAAATGCTCCAGAAAAGGTAGGGGAAAAACACAGGGCTCTATGTATATTTTTTCAAAAATCTTTATAAAAGAATCATACTGTGTCTTTCCTACTCTAAATGTGAATAAGCTCAAGTTCCCCTTGCCAAAATGACAGACTATGGAACAGTCCTGGAAAAAGGCCCGTTAGAAACAAGCAAGACAAAAGGGTTTGGAGGTTCTGTGTGGGAAAATGTATTTGTCCTACGAATAAAATGAAGTACTTTGTGAAGGGGAGAGGACCTATGAAGGTTATATTCTGATACAGTACAATTCATAGGAACTAGTAGGACAAAGAAGCAGATGAATGATCTATGTCCAGTCTAAATGGGTGTTGGCCTGCATGGCCAAATCATTCAGAAGTGAGGGACAGGTTTCCCATGATTCTCTGCTGGGAAGCTAGCAACATACAACAAGGAAACAGTAAAAACAGAAATTCCTATATCGGCACCTCTTTTCATTACAAGACTTGGTTTGAAAAGAGTATATTCAGATACATGGGTTAAAAAAATATATTAACATTTGATGATATTATAAAGCCAAGCCACTGGCCAATTTTACATTACAGAAACACCCTTATGTGGCTGCAAGCAGAACAGGTCCATGTCTTCATTCCCTGTCATTATAATCTCTATTACTGTAAAGTCTCTGCCTTCTTCATTGTAGGTACCGATATTTTTACAATATATGTCAAACCAAATTTCCCCAATTTCTGTCCTATAAAGTACATTTATATTTTTTCCCCCTAAAGGCAAGTTTAATGGAGAAATGTGATGCTCTAATGTTAAGGTACAGCCAGGAAACAGTACTCATTGTGGAGCAAATCCCTCTCTTCAGTTGAAATTGATGGTACTTTAATTATTTCATCTGTCTGTATTGCTTCTAAGGTTCTGTTTTAAATTATAGATGACACACTATTTGTTTCAACTTCAGATATATTAAATACTATGCAGATTTCTGAAAATTAATACTGTGTTCCTTCTTAGATATATATATATAA